GACTCCGGTGCTAGTGGATCGCCGGAGCTGTAGATTAACATTTGCATGCTTATTGTAGTTGTAAGGGCAATGCCTGTTGCACCATGGAGCATATGTGTGGGCTGGACCTGTATTTTAAAGGAAAGGAGTGAGCAGAGGGTCGAGTTGTCGATTCGTGTTCAGTGTCATCTTCCTCACCCTCTCAGACTTTGAGTTGCGCGCGCTGCTAAAGAGACGCGCTACCATGGAAACCAAACAATGGTGTACCTATATTAAAGTCCGAGTGGAAACAGTCGTGAGTAAATCTGATTTTGTCAGAAATCGGGAGAAATGCGGGAGTCTCCCGCGAAAATCGGGAGGGTTGGCAAGTATGACACACACACACACACACAATGTTCGTATTTAGTCTCCTGATTTTAAATGCCCTAGTATGGTTTTGTCACCATTTCCATAGCCCCACCAAAAATATTTTCCACCAGCCGCCACTGTCCGTATTTAGTGTGAGTGTATATAATGTGAATGTGAATTGTTGCTCCCACTGTATTTGCAGTGAACAGAACTCACCCTGAGCCCTGCTCCCTGTCCTCTTCTGTTGCAGCCACAGCAGCAGACACCGGCACAGTGAGCCCATGTCCAACCCCACCTTTTCCTACTACCCAGGAGATAAAAAGCTTGACTTCTACCGCTGGACTTCCCCACCTGGTGTCATGAAGATATTGTGCATCATCATCATCATCATGTGTGTTGCTGTTTTTGCCTGCGTGGCCTCCACACTTGTCTGGGACTACGATATGGGCCTCATGGGTATGGGAGGTGGAGCTGGCATGTTGCCAGGTTATGGTGGCTCATATGGGAGTAGTGGCTCCAGTGGTTCATATGGCAGCGGTGGTTCATATGGCAGCGGTGGTTCATATGGCAGTGGTGGTTCATATGGCAGCGGTGGTTCATATGGCGGAAGTGGCTATGGAGGAGGTAGTGGCGGCTCCAGTGGCTATGGACAAACACAAATGGACCCCAAAGCTGGAAAAGCCTTCCTCATCGCCATCTCTGCCATCACCTTCATAGCCGTGCTTATAATATTTGTGCTGGTCATTTCAAGGCAAAATGCTGCCCGCTCACCAAAGTTTTACCTAGCAACCATCATCATCTGTGCCATCTTGGCATTTCTCATGGTCATCGCCACAATTGTGTACCTTGTGGCCGTGAACCCAACTGCCCAGTCCACAGGATCTGTGGCCTATAGCCAGATCCGCCAACTGTGTGCCCAGTACCAGAACCAGGACCAGGCCCAAGGCATCTTCCTCAACCAGTACCTCTACCATTACTGTGTGGTGGAGCCCCAAGAGGTGTGATTTGCTTTCTTTTCCAGGGAGGATGATAGGGCGTTAGATTTGAATGGGGGGTAAACACTGTTTAGCTCCTTTACCAACAGGAATGCAGTAGTTTCTATATAGATTATTTAGTTCAGCAATATAGTCAACAGTAATTTTCCATTGACAGCTATACCAATTTCTTAAACATACCTGAAAAGTAATATAATTTATGAAGAGATTATATGAGATGGCATTATATGTTGAAATGTATATGTTTCCTGCAGAACTTTATTTGTTTTTAGATGGGGTGGTGGGGTGTAACATAGGCCCCTGTGGAGACAGCAATTATATTGGGGCTGTCCACTCAGATCCTGTGTAAAGTCTGAGTCTCGTTTTAGCTCCTGCTTCCTGACAGCCCCGATATTTACAATGTCTGTTAGCAGGTGGAATTGCAGCCCACTGACATTAAGTTCTGTTCTTCCTGCAGGCCATAGCTATCGTCCTGGGCTTCCTGGTGTTTGTTGGTCTCATCATCCTGCTGGTGTTTGCAGTCAAGACTCGCTCCATGATCAGGCGCTGGGGCCCGGATCGCATTCTCTGGGAGGAAGTGAAGATGGTCAATAATGGTCTGCACAACAGCGTTGGGGAGTGGGTGAGTGTGTGATTTTGTGTGGGTTTGTACGTGTTTGTGTATGAGTGACTTGTTTGCATAGGAGAACAAACTGGATCAACTCAATGTGCCTTTTTTCAACAAACTAAGACTAAACTATGTACATCAGGTCATTTCAACAAAGTAGTTTAGAGTAAAGTTAGTGAAAATGAGTGCTTCAAAACACATTAGTGCTTGCATGCACTTTTTAAGTGCCCGTTCAATTGTGCAATCAACATTTGATGTTGTGTTGAAGCCTCCTTTCATCACTTCTGTGTCAGAAATTAAGAAGTCTAGAGATCATTACATTTCCAAAGATACCAAATATTTAAGGTTGAATTTTGGAGAAATGTGAGTAAATTGGTGCACTATACATCTACAACATTTTTATTTGATAGGATGGTCAACCATAAAAAACATGGAATCTTTCGTTTGAATATATCACTCAGGTTAAGAGTCAAGTTGCCTAAAAGAGTGGAACAATAGGCCCCATGATGCTGTCGGACAGAGTTATAATACCCTCAAAGCTCAGTGGATATCGACAGTAACTTATATTACTGTCGCTGTTTGTCCGCTGGTGTGTTTATAGTTTGACTGCGAAGTTGTTTGTGTGATCTGTAAACAGACCCCCATAAAGCCTTGAATTATATCTCATCTCACCTTGGGAAAATGTTTTCCTTTCAACAGCTGTCAGGTAAGTCTGGGGGAAGGCAGGAATGGTTTGTTTTGCAGTTTCTGGGTGTGGTCTGTTTAATCACCCTTAGTTGCAGCATGATGTGCCTTGTTGTCAGGAGGATCTAAAAATAAAAACTTATCCAACAACTATAAGACTGTAAATCATCCCTAAAACTACGTTAGTTAGTTTCTCGTTCGCACGAGAAAGTTACCGGTGCGCCAAGTAGGAAGTGGAGCACAGAGGACAGGGCCGGACTGGGACAATAAGTCAGGCCGGGAATTATACACCCAGCCAGGCCACTACCAGTTTTTTGTGCCATTTTGCTGGATTTATTTGTCAATATTTACAGCGTTGCTGCCCATAGTGATAGTCCTCTAGTTGAAATCTACTAACCAAAAATAAACATATGGAGATGGGTTACTGTTTAAAAAAAATTGAAAATCCATTTAGGAACCTATTCATTTGAACATATTTTAAGTGGGGGTGGACCTCAAATCTTATAGGGGGGTCCAGGGGCATGCTCCCCCGGTAAAAAGATTTTTTTTTAAATGTTGGACTTAAATGCATCAATCATTTTGAGGGGGAAATAAAGAGACACCCATATGAAACAGAACTGTATACATTTAAATAATCATAAAATCATAAGAACATGGCCATAACCACTAACATACCATATCCAATATGAAAAAACATTGAAACTTGTTTATTTATTTGTTTTTGGTTCATTTATAGTTGTGAGTGTGTCTGTGCTCCTGAATCAGGCTCTCCTGTCTCCATTCTCTCCCCCCTGCTCCTCTTTGAGGCAGCAGCAAAGACTAGTTTTAGGTCTCAACAAGTTTTAAAAGTTTATCTGACCTTTTTTCACCTAGTTAACATTTTATTTGTATTATTCATGCATATTTTACTAATCACTCCCCCCTCAAATGGAAATAGCCTATGTGTTTACATAAATGGTGACCAACCGTTTGAGACCCACTGAGAATTTAGACTAAGTTAACTATCTAAACACTCAGTCCTTTTACCTCACCTGAGCTGTAGTTATCAGTCTCTCAGTCTGACAGGAGAGGACTCTCCTCCACCTTGTTGTTGAAACAGCTCCAACAATACACGTAACCGGTGCGCACGCTTTCTCTCTCTCTCGCTCGCTCGCGACACAGATACACACACGTCCTCCCGAGCTTGAATGACACACAGAGACCAATCGAGGGCATTAGTGTATGATCTGTATGAAAGTGGCCATGTCGGCAGGCCACATCATGTAGACAGCCAGTCACCCTCTGTGAGGCAGAGTCAGACCCACATTTGCGCAGCGTTGCATTCACAATACATACGTATAAAAGAAAAT